CTCCACCAAAGGCGTCGTGACACAGGTAGCAAAACATGATTATTTTTACTCGCTGCAAAACGCTGAGCTTGCAGCTAAGATCCTGCCGGAGAGACAGAGGCCAACAGGGAATAGCAGGGCAGGGCTGAGCAACTTTTCCAAATGGCCCCTGGACCCAAGGGTGGGAGGGCTGGGACCCCCAAAAGGAAGGCAGTGCTTGCTGGTGGGTCAAGAAAGCTTCGCTGCAAGCCCTCCAAGAGGACTGGGAAACATGGGGTGACAGCATGTCCCTTGCCTCTTCCCCCATGGCGCACAGAGGCCCAGTTCGCCCACTCCTCCCAGTGCTGCTCTGCAGGGATGCTCTGCTGGGTCCTTGTTTCCTAGCCTGTCCACAATGCAGTCCCCGAGGGCCCCAATCCTGACATGAGCAAAGGCGGCAGCAACAGTGGGAGCGGAAAGGATTTCTTGGGACCCAGCCCCAAGCACTTAGACCAGACCCAGATGCCATGGCCAGCCAGACCAGATGGCCCCAGCCCAGAGCTTGGCTGAGTGTGGTGGGGGCAAGGTTTGGGACCAAAGAGCGGAGAGACAAGATTCTGTTCGGGGTAACGGGAAGAGAAACCCGCCGGCCACGGGGGCAGGTCAAAGCCCCCAAAGTATCAGCAGGATCCCCACCCCACCCCACCCCACCCCGGGATCACTCGAGGCCCCTTTCTGCGACTTGTGCAAAACCAGGGCAGCCCTCTGCCCTGCTCCCTAGAAACAGAGGCATCGCTGCCTGCCGAGCACAAGATGGAGAACCTCGAGGACCGGGGAGGAACTCCCGAGAGGTGGAAAGAGGTGCTTTGCACCCTCTGGAGCAAGGTCATTCCTCCAGCTGGGCATGACCTAGGGCAGTGGTGCTGTGCCAGCTTGACAAATGCACAGCAGCAGATTTCTTGGCAGTGGCCAGGCGGCACTGACCTTGGGTGGGGAGAGACCGAAAGCAGCACGCTCGTCTGTCTGGCCCAGCCAGGAGCGAAGCAGGGGCAGCATCCCCTTTTAGCTGCAGTGCAAACATCACCGAATAATAAAACCTCCAGCGGCCTGGCTGGCCCTGCCCGGGTGAGGAGTCCAGGACCGGCACCGGGCATCGGTGCACCCAGGCGTGGTGCCAGCGTGACCCCAGCCGCTCCCCAGCATGCCACAGCCTCACCAGCGCCTGCTGCTTCTCACTGCAGAGCCGCAGCTCCTTGCAGAAGGGGGGAGGCAGGGAAGGAAAAGGGGTGGGGGGAGGATTGTGCTAAATCACATGCATTAGCCATAAGTTTTAGATCTGGAGGGGATGGACATGAGTCACATTTAACCCCTGCCGCCCCGCGTGCCGCACCGCAGCCTCGCCCAGCCCCAGGGTGATGCAGCATTTCCCGGGGTGCCGCTTGTGCCCACCCGGGGGTGCCCAGCGGTGCTCACCTGGGGGTGCCCAGCAGGGCCCGGCGGAGCTGGCCTCTTCCTTGGGGCAATGCAGCAGCACTGCGGTATTGCAGCAGGCGGCCGGCTGGCTCAGCACCCTGGCAGCAAGCAGGGGAGGAGAGAGGGTTACAGCCGGCCCCTCTGCATGCTTGCACCCCCCTGCCCCTCTGCCTCCCTCCTTGCTCCCCATCACCTGCTCCAGCTGCCATGCTGCCAGGAAGCTCCGGGCTGGCGGGGCTGGCGCTGCTGGGCAGGGCTGTGCCTGCCTGCAGCTGCGTTGTGGGGCCTGGAAGAGGGGGGAGGAGTGGGATCCACCCCGGGGCATCCCGGCCCTGCAGCCCTGACCCCGGGAGGATGCCTCCAGCCCTGGGAAGGGCTTAGCAGCTTACAGCGTGGGGCTCCGGCGGCAGCAGGGAGGCAGCGGGCAGCTCCATCAGCAGCGGGGGCCGGCGGCAGCGGCTGGCAGGCGAACAAAGAAGGGGGGAGAGGGGGGGGAAATTAAAAAAAAGCTACCCGGAAAATGTCACACGCCAGCAGAGTTTCTATAGCAACGTGCATCCAGAAGCATCCCCCGGGGCTGAGCGCATCTTACCTGCTGCGGGGAGAGATGCATGGCTGGGGATGCTCGGGCTCGGCCCTTCCTGTATTCCCAGGACTGGGCTGCTCCAGAGAAGGGGAAGAGGGACCCCCGTGCCCAGGACAACCCCTTCCCGGCAGCTGGGAGCGCTGCACGGGTTCCCAGGCCCCACCCTGCACAGTCTTGGATGCTGCTCTGCACGTCTGAACGCAGGAGTTTTGCCATCTGGGCCCTGCATGGAGATGCAGGCAGCTCTGGGGCTGGCTTGAAACATGCTGTGGATTCAAAACCTGCAGGATTGAAACAACTGCATGAAGCAATGCCTGGGGCCTTGGAAATAGCCCGTGTTTGTGGACAGCGGATGCCCTCTCTGCTCCTGTAATAGGGAAAAGGCAGACTAGGTTCTCTGGGTAGATGCTGATTTCTTTTATCAGACCAACTGAAGAGTTGGGAAAATTGTTCTTTGCAAGCTTTCAGGTACAAACGCCCTTCATCAGGCACAAGGAGCGTCTTCAGCATCTTCGTGGACACTGGAGATGCAGATTCCTTCGTCTACTACCTCCATATCCAAGCTCCTGCTTTTCCTCACGCTATCCCGCATAGGTTTCCTTTGATGTGTATAAATATGTGACTGCCCCTAAATTATTTAGCATGCAGGCATCTCCGTTAAAACAAACAGAATGAGAGCTGCAAATATTGCACATGCTTAACTAATCAGAGTTCCCTAATTACTCCACAACTGCAAAACACATTCATTAACTCCCCAATGTGTGCTGTTTTACATGCACCACAAAACTCAGCCCACTGGTAAGAACTTCATGGTGTTGTAATAGTGCAGGTTCTGGGAAAGTCTAGATCTGATATCTCAGTATCTGAGCCCTCTCCTTCCCTGTTGCACCAAAGCTCCCTGCTGTTCCTGGTGGCCTGCATCTCTGGCCCTAATTTTTCCCCTTGAAGACTCATTTTCTCTGTTTATGTGACACCCTGCATGCCTCTGCCCTCAGCCTCCCATAGTAAGGGCTCCATTTATAGGTATTTTACGGTTATAAAATATCTATAAAAACAGGCTGTAAGGGTTTTATGGAGGTATTGTCATGAAGCTCTTTCAGATGCAGATCATTTTTTCCCCAATTACGTAAGATAGCAAAAAAAAGGGCACTGGAAATGAAGGCATATTTTTTGGTTTGGTTCGGTTTGGCTTTTTAATGGCTGGCCCTGTCACTGGCTTGCTTTCTGCATTTTGAAAACCCAACTCTTCCCCCACCACAAATTGATACTCAGAGACTCTTAAATGAATGAACTGGCCAGCCCTCAAAGAGAAGAGGAGCGGAGAAAAAACCCAGTCTTAATTACAATCCCAGGCCAAGCCAAGTTGGGATGACACATCTCCCGCTGATTTCATGAGTGGAAAAATTTTTGCTTCTTCTAGAAAGGAAGATTTGGGTCTCTTAGGTCCCAAGAAAACCTGTGGCTGTGTTTTTCACAGAGAGTAATCTGACAATTGATCTGGAATACCTGAGAGGACTTAAGGTATAATGTTATTAGGCAAATCTCATGTAAACATAGACATGCTCACTTGCACACGCACTTATACACACATGCATTCCTCACTTTACACATCTATATGCATGCAGTCCTTGGTAAGTCGTAATGGTAAGTTATGGGTATGTAGAATTACTCATGAAATCAACTTGTGAAATCTGCTTCAGGAAAACTAATGTGCCTTTGCTCGGCAAGCCTTTTCAAAACCTTGATGCCAACCGCTGCACTGTCGAGCTTATAAATAGCAATATTTATGACTCAGTACTAAGGCCCCAGCCCTGAAAACGCATTCATGCAGGTACAGAGCCTACCCACAGGGACACAGCGTAAGAATCAGGGCTCGGATTTATACTTAGCCTGGAAGCTGAATTCAACTGTTTTACTAACCACCATCCATTATTCTCTGTGGCTGGCATGTGGTATCTAGTGAAGCACGGACTTACTACACATAATGATATGATCTTTGACTCACCAGTCGGAAGTTCATCCTGTGGACAAGCGTGGGGGGCACAGTTCAGAGTATTTTTTTTTTTAAAAAAAGGCAATACAGGCTTTCTTTAAAGTTAGTTTGTATATGCCCCAGCACTGGCTTGTCAACTGCTTGAAAACCTTGTCAGAAGATTGCAATTTGCATTTTTCCCATCAAGAAATGTGTAAACTAAAATATGCATTGAAAAAGGTTTATTATTATTTTAATTGCTCATTCATGTCTAATAAAGTAAAGAGAATGGTTGCCCACCCCAGAACTAATGTGGTTTTTCTACACATGGTGTCCATAACTGTTCTTCAACCTCCAACTGTACCTTGAGTGTGGGAGATCACTCCCTGTTTGAATAGCAGGGTCTTTTGGGGTTTGACCTGCACCCTGAAGGCCCCCTGGCACCCCATACCTAGGGGCTTAGAGGGTGGACAAAGGTTAATCAGTTCCTGAGGTTTCACCTCTGGGGTTTTGATAGTGCTGCACATCCCATGGGTGCCAACATGCACCTCCTTTTCCCCCTTCCTTCCCCATCTCAGCTTTGTGCCAACAGACTCCAACTAACTACAGCCAACAGCTAATAAATAAAATATGGGAAAAAGCAGAGAGCACGCAGGGATCTGAATGCTGCAGAAACTTCTCACAGCCATGGGTGGGAGAAAGGAACTGATGGCCCCTGGAGGACATGCTGTGTGCAGCTAAAGCCCCAAAATGGCTATTTAAAAAGATGCACACAGCAGTGGAACTCACAGGGTATTCACCCAAACGAAAACTGAGCAATTGCGTCAGATGGAAATCTATACCTGTGTCTCCAATCCTACAGCTGACAATGCCCAGGTGCATTGCTGCATCTACTGAAATCAATAGGACTTTACATAAGCACGGCAGAGCACCTGCAATTAGAAGATTATTCCCTGTATTTATGTATCATGGATTCTCAGACCAGTTCTTAAACTGAAATACACCCTTGGAGAGCAAGGGTAGAAGGAGTTTCATTTTTATGGCATCACAAGGGCTCCATACAAAATGTGCCTAATTTACAAATAAACAGATCATTTCCTAAATCCTAGCCTTCTAAACCTTCTTTCTTCTCTTCCCCCTGCAATAAAAGATTCTTGTGGGGCAAATTAAAGCCTTGGTAACATGCATCAAGCCCCAAGGTCTTCAAATGATACCTTCAGTCACACCTGCACAATAAAGACCTGATCAAAAGCCCTTTTGGAACGAGCTGTCAACCTCCTCTCTTGCAATTGTCACAGATTGTGAGTTCATAGCAACAGAACAATTTCAAAGAAAACCCAACCAACCCTGAGTTATTGCCTCCTCTGGACTCCCCACAATAGCCTGTCTCCTCTCTGGTTACCTTCTGGATTGTGAGCTCAGCAGGATGAGGTTTGTCTCTGTGTCCTGTTCAATGTCAAGCGTGCCTTACTGCTAAACAAATAAGATGTCCACAGCCTGAAACACAGGTGGCACAGGGATCTCCTGAACTCTTCCCGGGGTACAGAGGGCCATCTTAAGAGAATGGAGGAACAGATCCGAGATCCTCGTGATCCAAACTGGAGTCTATATTATATTATTTTCTAAAATGCATCTGTCTGAAGGACAAGGTACATGGCCCGCTGGGATCTGCTGAGCTGGTGCCAAACAAGCTCTCCCCTTCCTAATTTTCAGTTTATTCCCACCTTTCTGGGTCTCTATTTTACACTTCTGCTGCGATACACAACCCATTCTAGGAGACTGCATGGCAGCTCATTGTGAATTGAATACCACGCTTGTTGAAATTACACGTTTTCATTACAGGTACGCATGATGGGTTAAAATAGGAGCCTGTAGCATTTGTTCAGTCTTACTTTCTCCATTACTGACAGTTCAAAAGACATTTTCTCCAGAATACTTCCTGAGAGCATGTCAACTGTAAGGGCCACTCTGAAAATTAAGTGTAAAAACACTTTATCAGAGAATGTAAATATGAAGGGAATCCAAGGAGATGCTAAACCACAAAAAGCACAGCCTAGCTCTGTTAAGTATCTGCTACTTTTGACTCTTCAGAACAAATACTAAACAAGCTAAGGAAATGTATGCTTAATGTTTAATATATATTGCCCCCTCACATTTCAGCATACTCAACGTAACTGATTTATCTACGCAGAAAACTTCAGTGTACAACATGGAAATAAAAGTGACAGAACATCCTAAAGGACAGGTGATGTTGCAATGAGCTAAAAATACATCAATTTAACACAATACATCAACACAGAATTGTAAACAGGTCAACACATAATTTAAAGAATAAATATCTCTTCTAACACAATTTTATTTTTGGGTAAAATACTTAGTGAGCAACATTGCATAGTTCTATGCATCTCCCTGATGCTATATGAATATTTTTGGGCTGGCATAAAAACCTGTAAATATAAAAATCTGAATATAACTTCTAAGAATGTTTTAATTTTAAGACGGGCAGTTGTTTCCCATAAAGGCTGTGTAAGGTATCACTTTATTACCAGAGTAAAAGAGTGTGCTCTCTCAGTGCTTTCAGATCAAAATTAAGCTAACAAATAAATACCTGTGGCTTTCTGCTATGAAGCAAGCAGAATGTACCGTACCCCATGATAGAGCCTGAAATTTTCAGACATGCATAAATTGAATATTTGCAATAGTCAGCAAGATTTCATAGCCATCAGATACGAGCATGTATAGTGATATAATACCATGGGAAACATTCAAGTGTATTAATTTATCTTAAGAAATCTGGACTGAATATTTATTTAGTTTTGAAAAGTAACACACTGTGAAGAATTATGGCTCAACTTTTTAAAAAAGTATATTCCCTAGCTCCAAAATTGGACTCCAGGCCAGTTTTACTCAACTTCTGAAGGATTTTTTATAAATAAAATTAACAGGAAATTTAAAACTTGCCTATGTCGAATGCCCATTTTAAGCTATTCTTCATTAACAACATATTTAACTATTGATGATATTTGTTTGAAACCCCCCCAGAAAAACAAAGCTGATGATAAATATCTTGACTACTAATAACCATGGAATATATATGTATATCTACACAATTTTAGTTTCTATGCAGTCCTGAGAGGAAGCACTAAGTGTAATGGGTGTGGAGTCTAAGCATCACAATCCGTGTGGCCTCCATACTGTCTCGGGATTTTTTGAACGATAAGCATACAATGCCGTTCAATGTTATTGATGGTCTCATATAGTATTGAACTTTGGACCCATACTTGCTATTATATCAGCATAAGGGGCACTCTGAGAAAGCTCAAGAGCCAACTGTTTCTTTAGAACAAGAAAACTGTAAAATTTGGCAGCAACTCGTTTCCGGTCATTGCTCTGACAGAGCTCCAGCAAGCTGAAGGACTTCACTCCTGAATTGCTGACGTGCTACGTGGCAAAAAGAAAGAAAAGAAAATTATAGTTAGGTCAACTGATAAAACGATGTCTCTCAATATCTAAACCAAAGGACAGATGTTGCAAACACTTCTGTGCATAAATACATGTTTGCAAAATCAAGGCTTTAAGAGGGTATCGTCTCCCTGACCTTTAACTTGACCTAGTGTCTGTTAAAGTGCTTTACAAAATTTAGTGACAGCATTGCTCTCAATTGCAATTTTATTGCCAGCCTCAGGAAGTTTGGGTTTTTCTTAAATCCCAGGTGCTGGGAATCAAGGGATTGCACTGAAAACCCTTTCAGCTTGAAGCAAGGTTCTCTACTTTATGGTTGGAAACACAAATGTATTCTCAATGTTAGTTTTTTTAAATATTGTAATTTTAAATTAATCTCATGGTTTTGGATGCTTGGGCTGGCAATACTAGTATCAATAGATGATGCAGTTGCTTTCATAAAAATCTAGTCTGGCTTTGATCTTGCACAGCCTTAAACATATGCTTAAATTTACATATGCCGGTTAGCTCAATGCAACTCAACGCATCAAATAGGTGCATAAAATAACGAACAGGTAAAAGACTTTGAAGGGCTTTAGATTTACTGTCCATCATGTTGTTATTCACTGTGATTCCTCCCCTTCCCCTCAGCACAGCAAATACTAGAAATAGAATAAAATACATCATGATTTTGTAGGCCATGCGTGCACCTATGTTAATAGATATATGCATAACAAACACAATGTTTAAATACAGAATTGCTTTAAAAACCGTGTAAATGCATCCTACCTGCAGAGCATTTAATATCTGAAGAGTTCTTTTGCTCCAACTTTTTTCTTCGCTGTCTTGATCATTCCTTATTAGCTCCTGCATAGGAGATCGTGAGCATTAAATACACCATGTAAAATCATACACCAAAATGTTAAAAATTTGGTCAAATAAAAATGAATAGGCCAAAATAAATAGTTTCTGACTTCCTGTAAACTTGAGTTCAGAGTGCAATTTTTTTTTCTTTTATACACAGTGGCTTGTGTGTTATTTGTTTGGATAATGCTTAACCCACCACAGATTTGTCAAGGATGAAGCTGTATGCTTTGGCAGCAGTGGAAAAGTTTGGTTTCTGGCATTTGTGGAGTCATACTAGGAACTGAAGGATATAAACATCGAGTAGATTTTTCTGCTATAATAGAGACAGAGAGCGATTAATGGCATTTTACTTTGCAAGTAACCCCAGTGATTTCAGTGAGGCTAACTGCAGAGTAGGGGTTTACTCCTGGTCAATAATATTATAAGAAACTTTTAACTAGTTCGCAACTGATTCTAGGCCAAAGCTGACATTTAAGATTTCAGTTTTAGATTATGGAGTTAATGAGCTATCAAGGTGAATGGGGCAGTTCATGCCATTCACCGCTGTTGATTTAGTATTTGGTTCAGTTTTTTCTTTCTTCACAATTATTAAGGTCAGAAACCTTTTTCAGAAAAAATTCCTTCTATGGCAAACTCCATTGTGCTTCAATGTGGAAATAGTTGGAGCAGGGTTTCTTGTGTGTGCCTACTTTAACATCTACAGGAAAGACTTAGTGGTCAGAAATTCTGTGTTTTAAAAGGTAATTTTTATTTTAACTTTTTGGGAAAATTGTTTTTAATGTCTTCATCCTCCCCCTTACAGAAAGAGATATGGGGTACTGCTATTTTAAAAATTTATAGCAATTCATTTTCCCACAAAAGAGGCAAGGCACAACATTTTGCTCTGGATTAGTAGTCTGCAACTTCTGTAGACTCCCCTACTGTGATGAGTCTCAACTACTGGATGCATGGTAAGTGAGGAGGTACAGACTCTGCTTCTAGCTTGTTTCCAAGCCTCCCGTACACCAAAAAGTTCAGTTTTACTCCTATCTGGTTCACAAAGGATGCAGAAGTCATTCTGCATGGCAGGTAGACCAAACTTTTTATATAAACACTACTGCATGGATGCTCCACGTTGGACAAAGAGGAAGTTTGCATTCCAGCAAAAGCCCCAAATTCTCTCTCTCACACACACACAGTCTAGACATTATTAAGCCATAAAGCTTATAACATGTTCACTTTCTAACATACGAAGTTTATACATGAAGTGGGGTGGGAGGATATCTCCCATGGTTTGGTTTGATTTGATTTCTGTTTCAGTAAAAATTCAAAACTGATCGACCACTGATGGAGCCCTTCCCAAAAACCTGTCACAAGCCAAACACAGTTATTTTAATCCATTTTCCCTTTTTTGGTTACAATTTTCCTATTTGGTGTTCTAAAAAGAACATTTTGCCTTTATCATTTTGCAAAATGTTGCTTGTAGCATATTGGACATTTTTAAATACTGTGATTAATTCAGATTGGGTACATGAAATATTCAGAAAATAAAGATTACAGTACTGTTTTATACAATAAAACTACTAGTAAATTAACAAAGCAGTTAGTTTCAAATCTCTAAAAATTCCTATGCAAGAACATAATCATTTTTACACAATGTGCCAGTGATGACAACTTTCTTATTGACGCACATACGTTGGTTAATTCAGCTTGCTGAATCTCACTGTCCAGTGAACAGGCCTCGGGCAAAGAAGACAACATATCCTGCTATTGAAAGTTGGGAAAAATCAGACAGTTAGTAGCAGTATTCAAAGAGACAATATTATTCTCAGTTCTGCATTTCTGCCCCAAGTGGTCATTATGCTGATTTTTCTACAAAATTATTTTAAGAATATATCACTGATATATTACAGATAAGCAACCACATTTTGATTCCCATGCTATAACAGAAACCAGGCAGGAAGACACTTCCTCATGACACAGACTCAATGACTGCTTTGTATGGACACAATATTGGGTTCAGAATTTATACTTTTCCAATACAGTTAAACCCAATTTTATTATACTTACTGAAGATAAATAGTATTGTCTCTGCAAATGGTGGCCTTGTAGAGTAACCAGAATAAAGGTGGAAGAAATTGATGATTTATTAATTTAACAATATGCCCTTTATTTTCGAGCAAAAGAAATAAATCCCACCCCATCCTTGATAAAGATGCCCCTATTAAGTGTCTTTTTCCATACAAGTAAAGAGGTTGCACTGTATAAGAAGATTCTGTTTATAAAGTATTAACAAGAGATTAAACAGATTTTTAATACATTTATTTCATTGTTATTGTGCCCAGAGAAACTGTTTGTTACACCTTCTATTAAATGTCTCAAAACCATCTATAATATATGCTATTTTGTGCTACACAAGATATAGCTGTAGCATGCTTTTAACATCTGTTATTCATTTATTAACTCTTTTTAAATGGGACATTTGTATAAATTATGTAATAATGCACAAACACACACACACACACACACACACACACACACACACACACTAGTTTTTTATGTTTATTGAAAATACTTACTGTCTTTTCATTAGTAGTCCCATTTCTGCTGTTCTGTAACGTCGACACAAATGAATCATCCATTATGGGTCCCTGGGGTTCTCTGTGAGCTGCATCCTGCGAATAACTCAGGTCTTCAGTCAGTGACTCTTCAATTACCAATGTCTCTGTATCAATAAGAAAAAAAAAGTTTGACTGCCTTTCTGAAAAAGGAAAAATCCACCCCAACAATCTTTGAAAAATATAAGAAGAACTTTCTTAGAAGCCAATTTCTGTGGACTTGCATATTCATAAAACCAGTGATAGATCATGCACACTTAACTGCCACAGGAGCAGAAGTGAGTCAAGTAATAGCAAATCAAGTAATACACGTTGCCCTCTTATTTTAAAATGTGAGGATTAATAGAACAGGAACATATTTACCAAACCAAATATATATTTCTGTAGGACTCTGTAATTGCTGCAAGAAACTGATTCAAGTACTCATTTTTTTTTAAATGGTAAGCTTCTTGGCTTTCTTGTTTGTGCAGACACAAAACTCAGATTCTCTGCATGACTGAAATGCTAAATAAAATGTGTATGTTTCTTTTAAAATGTGTGACGGCAAAATGATAAAAATCAGACAAAATCAAAGTGTCACCTTTAGTATCTTGTTCTCTCTCTGGTTCTTCAGATCCCATTTCTATATTCTTTCTTCCAGTCTTAAAGCCCTGATACTTGAAGCAGTTTGCAAATAACTGTAAAAACAAAAACTTGTGTCTTCTATTTCCAGAATAACTTCAAGTTCTAATGGCAAAATGCAGGGAATAAAAAAGTGATAGGCATTTTTTATATGAATTTAAAACTAAGCAACACTGACCTAGGTGTCCATTTCATTTGTAGAGACCCTCTGAGGAAAAAGCCCTCTGGCAGGCAGTAAGGAAATGTCTTACCCAACAGCAGGCTTGGTCACCTCCCCCATTATTAAACCTCCTAAGAAGGGGAGATGCAGAAAAAACCCATATGTGAGGTTCTCAACGTGGGAGTTTTACACATAATGCCATTATGTAGGCATGATAGTTGCCCATGTGGAGCAGACTGAGGGTCTGTCCCTAAACCCTACAGATTTAAGGGATGCATGTGGTTCCAAGGGATTTGAATGATCTGCCTGAGGTCCCTTTTCTTGAATTTCAGCATCCTCCTCCAGAACCTCCCTCAGCTGTTCCTGCTCCATCAACTCTCTTAAAGGGAGAAGTGACTCAGTAAAGGTAGTGTAGCTTTGGGGAGACAGGGGAGAAAGTGGAATTATGCACAGCCCTGGGTCTTCGCACCCAAGTTTGCCTTCCCAGTCCTTATCTCAACACTGATCCTGAATGAGGAGGCAGGTAACAGTGTCCTAAAGCAACTAATATTTCTCTCTCAAGAAAGAAAGCACTGAGATCCAGACCCAAAAGATCCCACTAAGCATACATCTGACCTAGTTTTCCAGGCAAACCCCCTTAGTAGAACGGTATGGCAATGCTGAGAAGGTTCTTGTTCCACAGAACATACTAAGGGAGGTGGATGTGGCTGGAAATAGATATGACATTGCAAAACAACAGCATGCTTACAAATGCATTATTATAAAATATAATATATAGCAGCTTCTTATAATTAACACATGAATACACTGAAAAACTAAAATGAAGCAAAATATTCAAAGCAATGCTTAGGATTTCACCCTCTAAAGATACATAGCGACATCCACCTGCACTAATTTGAAAATATAAATCATTAGATTTAATTCAAGTACTGTCTCATCGCATGGATTTTAACTGCCCTCCTTTAAAAATAGTCCTCTCTCTCTATCTATATATAGAGAGAGAGAGAGAGAGAGAGAGAGGACTATTTTTAAAGGTTGGTTCTTTATAGTCCATTACACACACACACACACACACACACACACACACACGTATAATCTCTTTAGCACTGTGTAGCATACATATGTGTATATAACTGCCCTCTTTTAAAAACAGTCATTTTTTAGACTATTATTAAAGAAGGGAAGTTGTATACACATATGTATAATGCTACACAGTGCTAAAGAGATTATACGTACATACGTACGTGTATGTGTGTGTGTGTGTGTGTGTGTGTGTGTGTGTGTGTGTGTGTAATGGACTATAAAGAACCAATCTTTAAAAATAGTCCTCTGTCTCTCTCTCTCGGACTATTTTTAAAGAAGAGCAGTTATATACATAAGTATAATGCTACACAGTGCTAAAGAAATTATAGGTGTGCGTGCGTGCGTGCATAATGGACTATTTTTAAAGGAAAGCAATTGAAAAATATATTTTTGAAATAAAATTGTAAACAAAGAAATACTACAAACTTCTGATTTTAAAAAAGTGCATGCTACTGTATATAGATCTACATAATGTTTCCACCTTCTGCCATTCCTCAGGATTTATCTGGCAGAAGCTGCTCTTGTGACAATTTTATATTGCGCTGACTTGATTTCCACTCTGCTGGAAGACTGCTCCAGAGCCAGTCTTTCATCTAAGGGTTGATAGAGTGGGATGGTGGCAGCTGCTCCCTGTACCATCAATGGATTCTGAATTCTGACTGACTTAAGAGAACTGACTTTTGTGCTTCAGAGAACAACTTAAAGTACAGTTCTGTATTTTTAAAAGCATCCTCTACTTGTAACTAGACCGTGTTTTATTTTAATCAGTAAGTAAAGGAGCCACCACCAACAATCTGACTATCTGACATCACTCCCATTTGGTACAACCCATCATTATGTTTCAGAGACCAAATATAATTAAATGACAATCCTTTGATGAAAACGGATACTTCTGTAGATATTTCAAACAATGCAGCACCTTTTTTTTCCCTGTAACCACATTTCCTTATAACATCTTTTGTTATAATAATCTCTCCCGCAGAAGAATCTTGCTAGGAAGTATTAATATCAGGTCAAATTTACACATATTCCTTCATAACTCATCTTGCTGGCTTTCCATATTTAAAACACAGTACTAGTTTTCCCCCTGGGAGAACAAATTGTTTTCATTTTCTCAATTCATTGTTCAAAGCTCAGGTTTCTGATAGCATAATTCCTACTCAAGTAGATTATACTAATAAGACCGGTAATTATGATAGACTAGCATTAGTTGGCAGCCTGAAAACCTCTATAGTACTTATATTTTTCTGTTACATTGAGACCTATGAATAAAAAGCATAAGGTTTAAGCACTATTCTTACAAATGACAAGATTAATTGCAGAAAGCCAAGGTGGTCCAGTAATAATTACAGATTGGACTCACAACAAACAAAAAAAGAAAGAAAGAAGAAAAATAATAATATATCAGCATACCAGCAATCAATCAGGTGCACAGATGTAAAAATCAAGAATACACACTGGGTGCCTGAATTCTGCAGATGGCCTTTTTGTTGAAGCACATAATTGTGGGTACAAATAGATATCCAACCAGCTGAACTGTAGTATAAAGCTTCATTTGCACATATAGTTTTTGGGGACACAGTTATCTGTGCACACAAAAGGAAGCCTAAAATAACAGAACTTAAATGCACAATAATTCCATCATTTCTATAGTAAAACAGAAGCATACAAAGGCATAAATCTGTACCTTTTGCAGCTCAGCATTAATCAATGGCTCGGTAGCTCGGGAAAGAAGTTTATGCACTCCTCCTGATTTCTTCCACTTCATCAGCTTTTTTGTGGGGGGTGCAAGATCCAGCACAGTTTCTGTGTCTGTGTAGTTGCTAAGCTGTTTCTGAATAGTTTTACTGCTGAGCTCCTTGACTACATCAACAAGCAACTTCCTCTTCCTTTTCTCTTTCCGCCCAGTGAAAACTAAGCAGAAGAGATTTTTTTAAAAAAGGGACATTTATCTACTTTGCTGATGGATGCTCGTCTATAAGGAATATCTCTGTCCAAGCAGTGCTGGGTATCACAGAAGGACACAGTTGAAGTAAACCATGCTATTTACATTTTTTTCCGTTTTTTTTATGGTTTGGCATGATGGTATCAAAATTTGAGCAGTAGCTTGTCTTCCCTCATATATCTGATGAGGACATATTCTCTACCAAGCATTTGGGATGGAATGGGTGAAAAGGTTCCTAACCTCCTAATGTAGATCCCAGGAGGACCAGAAGTAAACTGGCCTTTCCCTGATGGGCCATTTGCTGCACTTTACTCTTCCCAAAACATTCCTGGCTGGTTACCTGTGTGTACTGGTAACTACCTGAGACTAAAAACCATCACCTTCTACTCAGTGTTGTGTCAATCTGAGTCAGTAGCTAAACCATAAAGTGGTGATATCTTTTATTAGACAACTAGATTTTTGCGAAAAAAATAAAAATAAAAAAAAATAAACAGTTAAAAAAAAATTCTTTCCAAAAATCTAGTTGGTCAAATAAAAGATATCACCTCTACCGTGAGTTCTGATTCCTTTTTTCTCTAGATCAAGATGGGTACAACCTGGATACCTAAATCATAAATTCTGCACTGATTCTAATATAGCAACTTTTCTTCCAAAATCTTGTCTCACTATGAATATAGAAAAATGAGTTCTGTTTTTTTAAAAACTTAAACATGAAACCAACACTTGGAACTCAATGGAGAAGTTGCTGACCCACTGAGATACAGTGCAGGGAAAAAAGGAGAGTAAACTTGAAGAGTTATGCTGATAACCAGGAGAGTGTTTCAGAAAAACAACCTTTACAGTTCCTGGGAAAGTCTGTATACTCTCACGTTCATATATTATTAGTTTAGGAATGTTTATGAATACTGGACTGAAGCAGCAGTGGAATAAACTTATTTTAAAAAAGGACATATGATAAAGTATGTCTAAGACACATATAAAGGCAGTTTACTTTAATTGGAAGTTAACCAGGCCAGGAATCATTTATGTACTCAAACAATTATTTTCCTATTAGTGTATTTTTTACTCAGTGTTTTTTATTAGTGTTTTAACCATTTGCAGATTGGAAGAGGGCACACGTATACTACATATACATATCCTCCTGAAAATTCGCTTGGCTGGCAGCCTGTAAAACAAAGCCTTCTAAAGGTCAGTGTCCACATAGAGAGTGTGCTAGTGGGTTTCATAATTCTTTCTCTTGGTATTATTCTGTTTGCTAACATTCATAAATGCAAAACTTTAATTGGCCATTGGATGAAACAAATTACACCTTCATTTCTGAAATGATGATGTCTCTTGAAGATTTCTAATTTTAGTCTTGAATCATTTGACATTAATCACCGTTCACTGCAGAGTTGAGAAGCAGGGTAAGTAAGCTCTCACACACATGCTACTTTATGCTTCTGATATCTGAGCAAGTTCCAAATGAGATATACACATACCCGTGAAAGTATTGTTCCTTTTTCAAATTTTTAGGGAAATCAATATAACCATGAGCAAAGCAATAAAAAGCAGGAAATTAAAAAATTAAGATTGCCATTCTATGGATGTAGATTTACTGATGCATTATCAAAGATAAATGTGCTGCAACTGGAACATCATAAACCAAGCTAGTGAGGGTAGATGAGCCAGAACAGCATTCAGCTCACTCCCCTACCCCCATAGCAGATGCACAGTGCTAACAGAGGCTAAATGTAGTAAATTAATTTTGGTAATTGGGGAAGGCTGTTAATGCACCCTGGGAGGTAAATAGTCTCAGCAATAATGAATGAGGGAAGAAAAGAAAATAACGTAAGCCAATTTCTTTAGTATTAAACACTGCAATATTTAACAGAAAATTGATGCAACTCTGACCTGTAGCATCAACTGGCTCAAGTGCAAACCCTTCCTCTTCATCCGGCAACAGTACAGTCTCACTCATTGGATGGTTTTCTGCTTCATGTAGGGACTCTTCATGGCTGGAATGCACTGTGAAACAGCCAGCCATGGCCCAATTTAAATAAAATCACTGTGCAATGTAGCAAACAACTTCTCAGGAACAGGACACATGAATCAATCTTGATTTTATACCAATTTGATTTGATACCAATCAAACTCGGTATCAATCAAGAAGTTTAAGCATTAGAATAAGATTAAGTCTTAAAATACAAAAATATATTTTTTTCCTTCTGACATAATACTTCTAAAGTACTACTTAAATATTTTTCATTTCAGCAATTTCCTGGGTTGTCTAGTCAAACTAAGCCTGCAACATCCCTAGAAGGCAGACAGCAGAAATGTCTAATGCAAAAAAGTATTTCTATCAAAGTTGTGCGACAGAGACAGAATTCCAAGATTGGCTCAAACTGTACCTGAGATCTAAGCAATTAAGAAGAAAGGAAAAACAGGAGTCAAGACAGGAAAAAAAGCAAGGAATAAGATAACAGTAACAGAACACACCAGCAAGAAAGACAAAAGCTCATTAAGTAATGAGAAGGAGCAGAGACATTACACACTCACCCACTGCACTGTCACCAGGGAGCTTCTGTAAGAAAGGAACTTCTTCCAGATCAAGAAGGTCTTTAATTAGGCTATTTTGCTCAGCTTTCAACAGATCATCTTAAAAATAAAATGCATAATTTCAATCATGTCAAATTTTAGCTACAGTACATCACCTGCATTAACAGAGAGGTAAATGTCTCAGATAAAGAAATCAAACCTGCTCCGATCAACAGGTGAAATGTATAGAGACCATTCAAACAAACAAGTAAAACAGTATTTATGCAGTAGGGCAGCAGAATCTTTCATAATGAATTATTCAGAAGGAGTTGCAGAATTAAGCATCTCCTGTGAAATCAACAGGAACTGAGGGCACTTAGGGACTCGGAAGTGTGCAGCACCTGTCCAATCAGTCCCAACAGTGACTTGGAGGCTGTTTTATAATTAGAAAAAAAAAACTATGTGAAAATGTCAAAAGTGATTAGTGCACATTATAAATTAAATCATTTGCTAGATAAGCAGTTTGTAAACAAACTAGGTGAGGTAAATAAGCAGAAAATAGCAACACACCCTGGTAAGAGATTTATTGCTATATGTTTTTAGATGGAATTTGAACATTTTTAACAAAAATTTAACAATCCAGGCACAAAAACTACTTAGTTCTTTTTGTTTTATGGTGATAAGGATTGGGGGGGCAGGGGGAGATGGGGTAACAACCTCACATATACACTACTTACCCCTATGGTGTTTTATTTGTCAAAGAAAATATTAATTTGAATAAATATGCAGGTAAAAATGGAGAACACAGAAGCAGAATTCTAAGAGTTTCCCTCTCGACACCTTTTTTTTTTTTAAATGTGCTTCCAGGTTAAAAATTTACATATCAGTTGCTGCCAAGTACAAATTTTTGTATTTGCATTATTAACACTTAATAGAGGCCATTTGTATGTAAATTCTAAAGCCATTACTTATTACTCTTCCCAAAGCTGGTCTTTTAATATTGCAGGCATGAGGTGACATGAATTGTTCAATCCAAGCACTACTCCAGGTAATTAATATGAAAGCCAGCTCTTTGCCATTCATTTCCAAACCTTTACAAGTCATGCCTTTCTTTTGCGGAGGGCACAGAAAGCAAGTAATATAAAAAGAAAATCTGTAGGGTTCTCTCTTGAGCAATAATATACAAAACAAGAGTCAACGAAAATGCACTGAAATGGATTGCAAGCACTCATTTCAAACTATCATTCATATACGACATTTTTCATGCTGGATGCTTGCAGTGCCACAGTTAAGTTAGCTCCACTGAGAAGCAGGCTATGTTACCCCAGGCACCCCACAGTGCCAATGCAGTTATACTGCGTCTAGAACAAGAACTACTTTATCAGAGCCAGCTCTATTGTGCACAGCACTGTACACACACACATACTGAAAGGATGCGGCCGTTGTGAACCAAGGGAAATTCTGGCCTCAACCCTTTTGTGAACAATAAGAACTACATAAAGTGCCCTTTTTGCCAGATTTTCTTTCCCCACCCCATCAACAAAATGATACCTACTAGCTTCTGTTTCAGGAAAAACTTCCATTTATGTGAAACGATTATCCTAAATATTTGTTTGAACCAGATCAACTGAAAACACATAATAGGAAGGGGAAAACGGGCGAGGAGGATAACAGAGAAGTGGGAAAATGAGTGTGTGTTTATGTGCTCTATACACACACAGGCAAAGACAAGTGGGATGCAGGAAGGAGGCAGGACACAATGACAGCAAAGGAGAAACAATGGTTTTGGGTTACAAACACTAGAATGTCTTTTATAAAAATGGTGAAATATATTATTTCACTCCAGGGAAGAGCTAAGGTTCTTTAACTATCTTTACTGCACACTTCTGTATCTTAACAGGTTTGGATTTCCTGTCAATCCGACTTTTACTTTCAACTGGTATTGTATTTAAGATACTTTCATGGGTTTTGTTTTGTTTTTTTACTTTAAATGACTCATATGCACTCTATAATTCCATTTTAACTTTTTTATCTAGAAATATATAAATGAACTCAGATGAATAATCATGACTAGTGCAACACTAAAAGTGTAAATAGAAATTTCCAGATTATCATTGACAAAAATGTTTGAAATAAAAATATAATTTCCATTTAGAAAAGCACCACATTTTAAAACTTCTTGGATAGTTTATATTAGATTCTGTTAATGTATGGAAAAAAACATACCAATCATATCCCCAGCAGCCTCTTCATCTCCAAAACCATCAAGTTTAAATATATATGCATCTTCACACAGCCTAGATTTGTCTCCAGTGAGGCTCGAAGAGTTGTGATCAGCCAAAAGACTATTAGTACTCATTAGTATGCTGTCATCAAAGAAGCTGTGACGCCTTAGTATTGCGGTCTCCTCACCTGAAAAAACATACATATATACATTCTCATCTAAGTATTGACTAACCATTTTCCTCAATATAGATAAAATAAGTATTTATGGGTGATGTCAAACGTATATAAAACCCATCCAAATAAGGTAGCAATGTTATCATCACTGTTTCAGCATTTTATGAAGAGCAGAATAATTTCAGCTAGTTTAGCAAATAGACTAACTGCATTGGGTTGTATGCTCATTCACACTAAGGGCACTTTCCATTGTTCTGGGAAAGCAGTTGTGCTCACTGATTTATGATCAGGGATCCTCGTTTTCTCAGATTAAACAATATTCCCAATTTTGGAGGTTAAAAAGTAACCCAAAATCCAGAACACACCAGCATTTTTCTGTGATTAAAATGAAATGCCACTAATACACACCAACATATACATACATATACACACACATATACATATACACATTAGTGGCATTTCATTTTAATCACAGAAAAATATGGATTTTGGGTTATTTTTTTAACCCAAAAATTGGGGATTTTTTTCATCAGAGAAAACCAGGATCCCTGCTTATGAGGCACACTCAGGAGGCTAGTCCATACTGCATGGCAGGCCAGCCCACTCACGTGCAGAGTAGCACCTCCACCCTTGATTTAGGGGTTTCTGAGGGGGGTCAAAGCCCAGGTTAGAGGCAATATTCAAGTGAAAAAGAACTTGAACTGGGCTTTGGATCATGTTCAAAGACAATAAGCAGAGGATTCATCATAGAAAGCAAACAGATCCTTCATAATATAAGCTTTAGGAGCTTAAATAATACATCAGAACAAAGCAGGATTTTATAAATCATTAACAGTGTAAGTTATTTTGCATATAAAATACAATTTAATTTTTCAGGTCTTCTTACCAAAATTCCCCTCACAGAGAAGTATATCCCTTCCATAGTCCTCTGTAAGGGTGATGTCTTCAGCTCTGCTCTGATTCAAACTGAAGTGTTCAGCAACATCAATAGCACTAATGAAAAACAGAATATACCAAATATAATATGAGCTGGAAGTGCGAGGAGTAGGAACATGAATGATCTGTATCCAGAGGGCCTCCATCTTTGCGTATCTAAGTTTAACGATAGAGACAACTGCTACGTTCGAAGGCCCCCCAAACACTTCAACAGCTATCAACTCTTCTGGGAGAAGAAATGCAGTCTCCCTGAAGAGTCAGAATGCAAAACATTTACAGCTTTATTGATTCAAAACAACTCTTTATATTGCGTCTTGTCTAGACGCTAAAAAGGTAATCGTATGGCATCTGAAAAACAGATGCTGTATGTTCCTTAGAAAAGACACCTTTAAGCAAACAGAAAGCAGCCTCCTTTACTAATTGAAGCATCTAAGTCATCTTTAAGGAAGCCTATGCAACACCTAACCATAATCCAGTCACAAAGTCACAAAAGCATGATGTTCAAGAGAAAAGCATTTAGCTACACGAACATAGAAAAGATCTTCTTGGGGCTTCAGTGCCTGAAACTTCATGAGCAACAAATAAGATGAACTCCCCACAAGTTTCTGCCTCCTTGTTCAAGAGTAGGCAAAGTCCCTTAATAACACCATCCAAACAACTTGTTTGCCCCTAAAAATCTCACCAACATCTGGTCCAAATTCAGGTTCTACCAATTCGCTAGTGCACAGCATTTTTTTTGTCTCCAGTCTTCATTCAAATAAATTACACGATGATACTCAAAAGCTTGCAATTAAAGAATTTTTTTTTGCAAAAATCTAGTTGGTTTAATGAAAGACCAACACATCATCTCTACCACAAGTTCTGATTCCATGATGATACTCTGAAACCTAAGTTCAAACTACTGTTCACTGGGAAGGTCTTCACTGATAAAATGAGACTGGAGTAACTTTACAGATACATAATTCCTGTGTTTGTAGCTGGCCACGTACATACAGCTTGGAATTCAGAAAAAAAAATTAGTTATCTGTTCAAATGGAAACTCTGAGTTCTTTGCTTGCTGGTAACCAGCAAGAAAACACAATTCTAGCTCTGGACACAAAGTCAGGCAAAATGCTATTATAAAAACATGGAGAAACGTTTACTTCAAGTCAGGTAGTGGTGTGTCAAAATCATGGAAGTCTTCAGGCAACGTGATGGAGTGATAAATCGCTTCAAAGTTCTCTTTTGGAAGGTCAACAAGTCCTAAGGAAAAAGCACAAAACATAGAGACACGAGCAGTGATACTATAACAAGAAGTCCATCCAATATGACTAAATGCATCCGGGGGATTTGTTGCCATCATAACTAATAAGAGCAAAGCTTAAGTAGTTTGTCAACAGAGCCCTCAAGGTGAAATGAAGCCCTTAATCAATGTACAGTTTAGAAGCTGAATATTTAGTGTTGTGCACAAAAAAAGTATGGGCCTGTTAAAAAAAAATGGCAGAGGTGTTGAAATGTTCTAAAGCTGCTGTAAGTACAAGCAGCTCTTCAAAGCTACAAACGATTTTGGCAACTAGCGACTAATATAGGTACCTTAAAGTTGTTTAAGTTTACATTGCAATGTTTCCTGTTTTCTAGCTAATGTTTTCAACGTCGAAAATGTACAAAGCAAAGCTGCAAATACATGGTTCTCGTCATACTACAAGCTACTTTGATATTTATTTATCAATAAAAAATGTATGTGTTGCACTTATCTGTATGCCTTTCTACCAATGTCTGGAAATGTATTGAAGCCTTTAACTAATGACACCTTAAGAGGCAGGTACCAGAAAGTAATGTTACCCCCATTTTACAGATATATAAACTAGTCAGTCATAGTAGATTAAGCAACTTGCTCCAAGCTCACGTTCTCAGGCAGTGATAGTGCTGGAAGCAGAACCTGAGGTTCTTCTGTCTTCACCTAATTGTGAGAGCAGAAGACAACCTTTCACCAAAAGATAACTTACCATAAGACAGCTTTCATATTCTTTAGGGTGTGTGCACATAGGTAGTTATTGCGATTTTATTCCCCAGGCTTGTTTGCTTCACCATAACTTGTGTGTGCACCCAGGCCCTCAGAGTCAGGCCCTTCCAGGGCACAAGGAAGCCAAAAAGATGAAAAGGTTAAATGAAGTCAGCATTGCACTTTAGCATTGGGCACCAGGAAGTCTGTCACGTGTTAGAATGAATAATATGTACCGGACTGGAATATCTCAAATGAAAAGTAAAGACAGGAACCTGAAAGAGGTATGGACAGACAAATGCAGAATCCTGTCTATACCTGGACGAAAGGCCACCTTCATTTTCACCAAAGCTTCACTGCAGTCTGCCAAGAGGTACTTTGTCTTTCGGTGATAAATTCGTACCACTCCCAAAAGCAAGTGCCCTGAGGTTCGCAGAGCAATTCTGACCTGCAACGATTTTTAAAAATCCTTCAACCTTTAATGCATATTGCAAAACCATTAAGATTAAACAAATTCAGGGATTAACCTTGTAATGTATGTTGAAAAGGAAAAGCGGTATTGGACATTATAATGATTATTCTGGAGTTCTGCATGACTATTGGGGGCTATTTTAAATGAGAGAATGTATGGACTTTATACCAGTGAAATCAATAACTTTCTGACTGCAGCCAGCACTATGGACTGATGCCATGATGCAGGAGATGAGATTACCCAGAGAAGAAAAAAACATCATACGCTAGGGAAACTACATGTCAACACGTGCAGTGACACTTATTTAAACTGCAGTACATCCTAATAATATTATTAATGAAACAGTTTTAAATCAGCCACCTGGGCAAGGATACTATTTGGTGTTCTACAGCTAAGTTTCTAATGAACAAGGGTTTTTGCTCATAAATCTTGCACTAACTCAGAATCTTGGTGTCTGTTAGCCCTGCTCTATGTATTTAACTATGTACATATCTAGATATAAAAGGGGACTAGGAAAGATCCTGAAGAAAAAGGAAGGAAGATTAGGCCTTTTTAAAGATTTGTTACTTATTATGAAAGTGGCAAAAGTGTTACCCCAAGTGCTTTCATTATTCACTTCATTAGTTCAATTAAGCAACCATCTATTCAACCCTCTCTTGAGACAGGTTTTCCTGTATACCAACCAGAGTGCAGGATTTTCTAAATAGCATTTTCTAAAATGTACTTTTCGCCTGCTGTAAGAAATATGCTCTACATCCTTCAGGCATAAGACAGCAAGCATTTTACTCGAACTTTGCCACTTAATGGAAGTTTTGACCCAGTAAAAAAAACTGAATAAAACCCGACAAAATGGATCAGGTCACCAGTTGCTTAAACTGAAACAAGAGGGGCAAATTTGGTATGTATCAAATATGAAGGCAGACCCAAACACAGGCATAGGTGAACTGACCCAGACAGAAAGGGGGCCCAAAAATGGTAATTTTTTTTCCCATTGTCCAATTATCATTACCATTATCCCTGGAGAAGGGGGGCCCTATACTAGAAGTTTGCCTGGGGCCACTGGGAGTCTAGGTCTGGTGCTATATGAAGGTTTATAATCTTTGCGTGCAGATGCTTTTCTTCTAGTGAAGACTGACATTTCTATAGCAGGAAACTCCTTGTATTAGTTACGTACCTTCGGCGAGATGATCTTTTCGATAGTCATCTCTAAATTACATTCAAATATATGAGCTCTTGTGAGCTTCTTCTCCCAGTGGGCAGCAAGCCATATTTTGGCCAGTGGCCCCCGCTTGTTCACAAGTAAATGCATGTAAAACATGTCGCCCGTATCCTGTCGCTGCACTCACGCCAGCTAGGGAAATCAATATAAAATTGGTGTTAAAAAAACCCAACGAGAACTTATGATTTCATGGATAGGCAAGAAGACTTTCAGTGTTCATTGCGAGAACCCAAATCCGCTGGACTGTGAGGGACGAGGTCCATGCAATAGATGGCAAACGGCAGGCGATATCTCGAATTGCGGGCGAGATCTCTAATTGGGGCTGGGAGGGACAAGTCCGTCCCCAAACCTGGGGCAGGATTGGCCCTGTCCCAACCATAATCCCAATGTCTATACAACGACCGTATATTGGGCCAATGGCATAGTCGGTATCGGGGGGCAGTGTGGGGTGGACAAAACCAGCGATGGCCCCGTGTCGGGGTGGGGGGCAGTGTTTGAGTCCCTCGACTCTGGAAAGAAATTGGATTTTTCCACCGGACAGCAGAGAACAGCCCCCTCCACGCGCCCGGCTACGGGGAGATTCCTGAAAGGGTTTTGGGGGGCTGCATTGGGGGGAGGGTTAAACCTCCCTCCTGGGTGTGAGGGAGACCCCAGAGGGGCAGGGTCGGGTCCCAGAGCCCCTGGCTGAGGAGGCGCGCACCCAGTGCAGGGCGTCGTGTGGATGGGGGGGCAGGGTGTTCCCGCCTCAGCAACCCCCGCCACGGCGCCTGCGCGGCGCGGCGGCGCCCCCTGGGGCCGCG